GGTTTTGAGGGTTTCGCCGATCTTTTGGAAGAAGTCGGAGGCCATATCCGTCGCGGCATCGAGAGCCGATGGCTGGTATTCTTCGAATCCGGTATGGTAGAAAACCTTTGCCACTGAACGCTGCAATGCTGCTTTGCAAACCCACGGGGCAATTACGGGTCCGTTGTCGTTCATAACATGGGGTGCGGCGTCCTGCTCAACAAATGGTTCCGGTTGGTATTTCTGAAACTGGTTTTGGTACATCTGCTAAGAATCAGTCATCCGTTCCATATCGATGATATCTTTTTGGAGAGGGTTTACCTGGGACTGTAGTTGCATCTGCTTGACAATACCAACTTTCGAGCAAATCTTCCTGGTTTCCTGCATCTGCCTCATGTTCGCATCCATCTTGCGGGAAAGTTTGCTATCTGGCTGCATAAACGATCCTTTCGGTAGTATCTTCAAAAACTCCTCCATCGTGTCCACTAGGTTTCCCTCGCTATCTTCCCTCCATAGCAAATGCGCCGGAAGGTCAGGGATACCAGACATGACATCGTAATAGTCAGGAATCACTTTGTCCTCCTCCACCTCAATCCCCTCAGCAAGGGTCTCACTAGCGGCGGTCTGTTCCATTGCTTTTGACCCAGGTTCATTCTGCTTCTCTGCTTCTGTGGAAATTTGCTGCTGGCTCCTGAGCCATCTTCTCATGCCCGCTTTAGTTCGAAGAAGAGCTGGCTCGTCCGAGTTGAGTTTATCACCTTTAAAAAGACGATGTCTTTCTGCAGCAATAAGTGCTCGGTCTTTCTTTGTGACCTGCTTCCAAACTTTGTATTCTGGGTCAGCAAGCTCAATACCAGGCGTGGCCAAGGCACTGAGTGCAGTAGTTGGTGTCGCTAGGCCTTCAAGATCCATACTATCATCTTGTCCTCCTGATGCGGCTGGAACAGCCCCAGCCGGGTCAGAAGGCGTTTGCGTTCCGGGAGGCGGTGTCGCAAAACCATTCTGAATCCCTTCCATGGGAATATCCGAGTCGGAACGTACAGGCGCCGGAGGTTGGGAGCTAGAGACGGGAGGAGGCTCAGATCCACTTGGAGTGTTTGGAGCTGGCGCTGTGCCCTTCTTGGATGATTTTCCAGGGGCTTTGCGACCTCTTGATGACATGATAGGCTCATCGTCGCTTTCATCGCCGCCATCAAGTTCAGCAAGCTGAAGCCGTCGTTCTTCTGCCTCAACCTCCGCGCGATCTCGGATAACAATTTCGGGGATGAGAGGCACAAGTTTTTCAGTTTCCTTCTTCATGTGAATGGCATGCTTCCGTAGAAAGTGCTCCGGATTCACGTTGTACTTGAGGCAGTTCGACCAGATGAGGTTTAGGTCATCTACAAACTCTTGTTTCGATTTGTACTGAAGAGCCTTGAGTTTCTTCGTCATTGTTCCGAGGTCCATGGGATGTTTGATGACTAGAAATAGAGTTAATATAGTGTCAAAGCGAAACTGGACAAGGATAGCCTTACCTGCGTAGTAATCCGGGGCATCGCGCTTGTTAACACGGGTCAGGAAAGCTGAAGAATGCTCGGTCATCGCTTTCAGTTCGCTCAGCACTTTCTCGGCAGCTTCGTAGAGTTCTTCCTGGCCGATCTTGTCTTCGCTAGCCCATTTGCTGCGATTTTTGCGAACTTCACTCATCAGGCTGCGGAGTTCGGCATCAGAAGCCTGGACCATCGTGCGCTTCATATCAATCCTTGCGATCAGGTTTTTCAAAGTCAAACTCGATGCGCCGAGGTTTGCAGCACTTAACGAGCCGTAGCCGGCTGAGCCTGAAGTTTCGTTATTACCAGCATTTGCCTGACCGGACATTTCAGCCTCCACTTGTCTTTCGGATTCTTCCAAGCGTTGTTGATCCAACATCGCATCTCTATCGTTCTCCAAGGTGTAAAATAGTGTGTGGAAACTTCTTTTGGCTGCCTCTTCGGTAGCCTTTTTGTCTTCCTCCAGTTTCTTCCGGATATCTTCTAAGCTCTCTTTCTTTGTTTCTTTTGTGCCCTCCGCGCCTGTAGATACTGAGGTGCTCGGCGGCCCTGGCGACGGTATCGCATTCGGCTGTTGAGCAGGGGCGGAAACCTTTGACGGGGGAGGCGACGCAGCCTCGGCTTCATCGTCGTCATCGTCGTAGTCGTCGTAGTCGTCATCGTCTAGCTTTCTCGCGGGTTTTTTGGGAGGCGCGGGAGCGGGCGCCGGTTCGTCGGCGCGTTGGTCCTGAGCCCCAGCCCCATCGGGTAGGGCGACAGCATCACCAGACGTGTCTTCAGATGATTTTTCACCCGAAAATAGACTATTTATTTTCGCCTCGGTGCGATTATACAAGTCGCGGAATATGGCGATGCGTGGATCTTCCTCCAAAGCAGTGTCGGCCTCCGATATCAAATTGCCCGCGTGAGAGCCATCGGCATCGACCGAACCGCGCATTTGAGGCGTTCTGGGTCCAGAAAAAGGTTTCGAATAGCCATTGGAATTCCGCGCATCAAGTAGATCATCAGGAGGCCGAAGATGACCCGGAGGAAACCAGGCGTTGTGGTGTCCGAGCGACATGCTCGCTCCAAAACCCCGGTTCTGGGGCGGGCGAGGGGGCTCGCTTCTCCACGGTTATGATCAGGTTCGAGTAGGCAACAATGAGGGCGTCTGGGAGGTAAAAAAATACATAGAGACAAAGTTCAGAGCACAGAGAAACGAGTGACGATGTCTCCAGGGCCCTAGAAGATGAGGCGGGCGTGGATTTGGATGGCAAAGACACGGGCACCTGTACCAGGTTCTCTGCGCGAACGGATGAAGTGAAGTCAGGTCGGAGCCGTGACCAGCAGCACGGTCGCCGAGTTTTAGACCAACCGTGCAGTTTTGGGGGCAGCAGCTTCCAAAAAGAACAGAACAGGAGCAAAAGAAAACAATAAAATATCTTCCAGAAGTAATTCTTCTTTTAACAGAGCATCTATACTCAGACCCAGCCTTCACCTTGCTAAATGCTGGTCCATTGTCATTGAAACCGGTGTTACTTTTTGAATGGAACCAGCATAATTTTATTCATGCATTGTTATCCAACCCTGTATAAATGCACATGACGTGAACCAACATCAGGCAGGCGTTGGAGCTTCAAGCCTTCGGCCCCAAGCTGTCATCATAGTCCTCCGCGACAACCACTTGGTCTGATTTCACCATGCGTATCCGATATCCCTTCGCGGGTATGTAATTCCTCCAGGCGCCCTTTCCAATCCCAGCGATACGGTACTACCGCGGTATCTACAAGCTCTCGTGGCTGCAATCGCACAAGTTAGGCTTCAGCCATGCTAACCATTGCTCATGCACAGGTGCCTTCGTCTTCCTCTTGATTTTATCGGCGTACATAGGCCTTCTTCCTCACAGCGACTCCTCGTCTGTGCCGTCGCAGCTCCAGCCAAATGACAAGGTCCTCCATGTCGTCACTTTCTTCCTGCTCTCCCTCATCTTCTACTGGATTCCCGACACCACCCGCCGACGCACACTCCATCTAACCCTCGTCGTCTGTACTCTTGCCCTGGGAGTTGGGTCCGAGATAGTTCAAGGTATCCTTCCGAATGGTCGCTCCTTCGATCCGTTCGACCTCTTAGCCAACATTGTCGGAAGTCTGGGCGCCATCGGCCTATGCACCTGGTATCATCGCCGTATGCTAGAGCGACGACGCAAATCCCGCTTTGGGTCTATGGGCGATGGTGGTGATGACGATGTCGAGCTGGGCATGACCCCGGGCCATCGCGACGAGGAAGGGTTAGAACCCCAAGAATCCGGCGTTATGAATCTAGAGCAGGAGGTCGATAACTGGGATGAGAACGCTGTCGATACTTGGGACACAGAGGACGGCGAAGACCCTAGTCGTCCAAATGCGGCTGCTTCGGCCGGTGGGGAGGACCAGAAAGTGCCCGTCGAAGGCGGCAAGAGAAGCGACTAGGTCAACTTTCATCATGGCCTTTAAGCATAGTCACTTCATCTTGACATGTATGGAATTTCTCCAAGGAGAAGACGTTCTCACGTCACGATTGAGCTCATCTCGTTCGTATTCCGTCCTCACGACTGATCTAATGTTACGCGCCTAGCGTAACCACCATTCCTCACGTTACGTAGCCTCCTCGACGAAGAAATGTTACTCCTGTTATGATTTGACTTGATCAACTTGACTCCCAGAATTCGCTGCAGAGTCCTTATGTGTGCCTTGTTGGCTGTTATGTGTAGTTGGGCCTGATTTACCTTGTCGAGTGTCTATGATTTCGCAACGGGTAAATAGGTCTCAAAAGGAGTTTGTGCTGCGAGTTCTGCATCCTCTCCTTGTATATCTTTATCGTGTTTATTCTAGATTAGTTGCTTGGTACAATTCGATAATAATATAGTTGAAACGGCGGAGGCTTCGGCTTGAGCCTCGTTTACATATATAGCATACAGCTCACAGGTTTCCTTGACCAACCAAATTCCACCCTGATCAGTAATTTCTGCTGAACAAAGACACCTAGGGAGAGCTGGAAAGGTAAAGAAAACACCCTCATAAATGGCCAGCGTATTGTCGCGTTGGTGCCTAGACTTTCAAGGGTTTCACAAAGGACTGTATCAACTGGACCAGGCTAAGTACATGGACTATACAGATAGAGAGAGGGGCCACCTCGCTCAGCCCAACTTAAAATTGACACCAAGTATGATACACCAATTCTAAGGCTAACGCAGGGGAGGGGCTAACAGAAACGACATGCAAGAATCTAATCCAGGATTCGCAAAAGTAAAGAACATCAAAGAAGGGGTGCAATCGCGATACAGGTATTCGAACAGGGTAGTGAACCATGCAAAGTAAGTCGTGTGGGGAAAAAGTCAATAAACTCAGGGCAACGTATGCAAATTAGGAATTCATGGCTAGTCATAATAACAAATTAAAAGCAGAAGATGTAGAATACGTCAGGGGCATTAGATGTGGCTTAGGAGTGAGGCCAACGCCCACCATCGGGAAGCAGTTAAGACTGTGTTTCCTCGTTTTCAGGCTGCCCTGGGGTTTCTGTATCAGAGTGGTACTCTGTCGGCTCCAATTCAGGTTTAGGGGCTGGCAGATAGGTATCTTCGTCGGACAATTTGGCAATTTTGGCAGACCTGGTATCGGATTTCTGACGACTGATGCCATAAGTCTTTTCCAGGATGAGGTCAGCTTGTTCTCGCAAGACTTCGTATATGAAAATCAACTGCATCTCGTTATACACCATCATCATTCGTTGTTCGCGAAGTTGGTTCACCGCCTCGAATACGGGGTCTATTTCTTGATCAGTGGCCTTTAGAAGTTCGCCTGATTCGAGTTCTTGTAGGAGATGGTCGAGTGCGATAAAAGTGCCCGTCCTCCCAACACCAGCACTGCAGTGAACAATTCGCGGATTCTGTGGAGAAGAAGACTTGGACGCTGACAATTCTATCAACCGGAGAAGCGCATCGCGGTCTTCGCCAACGGGTTTAGAATAGTCCGCCCAACCGGCAAAGAGAAAATGCCATACAGTCTTGGATTCGGAGCCCAATGTAAGCTCAAGTTTTCGAATCTCGGAACGGCACTCTGCGTTCCATGTGCTTTCCAGGAGAGTGATTTGACCAAACACGCCTTCATCCTCCGTTTGATCTTCATCACCATCCACGAAAGGGTCGTTGTTGTCGCATCGTAGGAGCATCGACGGGTCTTCAAAACTGACGGGGAAATATTGGGCGCACTTCTCACGACCCGATTCCATCGTCTGCGTGAGCATAACAATCACCCCCACATCATCAGTCTCGTGGAAAACCATATGCCAGAAGTGATAGAGGTCATCCAGCCTGGGTCCCTGTGGTATATTTAGCAGCCTTTTCTCGATGTTAGACCATGGTTGCCATTTACCTGCGTAGCGATGTATCTTCTCTGCTCCAGCGAGACCGAGTCTTTGAGCAAGATGGGCGATGCGTTGATAAAATCACATTCGCCTTCCGGAACCCGAAGATGTATGCGAGAATTAGCCCACGCTTGTACGTTCGCATATCTGTTTCTAGCCTTGACTTCGGGGTCGGCCTCCAACGCCCAACGATGTGAAGGATCATTAGCTTGGGTCGCTTCCAGAATTCGAGTCCGCTGCATCCACTCTAGCTCTTCAAATTTATGATGGATATCTAGATGCAAAAGTAAACGATTAGCCTCGCGAACTTCGTGGTGGTAAAGCGATGTCCCGTGAAGCAGAGGGCGAACCAACCTAAGATCGACTGCCGCAAGAACGGCGGGACGAGTTCGTTATCCGCCATTTCGAGTTGAGGGTTGTCATCTTCCGGTCCATCTATTATCTCAGCCCCTTCCTCGTTGTCCGGATGTGAGCGCTTGGTTGCCTGGACGCTCGTGTCGATTTTAATGTTGGGATGTGCCATTTTGGCGGCAGCGATCCTTTGGAAGGCACGAACCTTACCCAGGACGCCGCGCGCCTTTTTGGTGACCCGCTTCCGTTTCGAGACAAGCTTTTGAGAGTCGCTGCGGAAGCTGGGTGTATCGGGGGATGGAGAGCGGGATGTTGGAGCTGTGAAAGTCTGCCCCTCCGAGGCGCCGGGCGGATCGACAGCGGCGCCGTTCGGGGGTTGTGACAGGGATGATATCTGGAGCGTCGACAGATCAAGACAGCTGTGGGCGCTGCTTCTCGGCGTAGTTTGCTCGGCCAGATTTCTGGTTCGCCCGGGAATATTAGATACAGACAGATTGTTCGTTTTGATTATGTCGGTATTTTGCGTTTCGTAGAGGGGAAATCGCGCACGTTCGCGGAGCGCACGAGGTAGTAAGGAGGAGTTCGCTGCAGGTAATAATTGAATAGTAGCAAGTGGCACCGGCAAAATTATGCTTAAAATTCTCCCAAGCAGCACGCGACACCCCACGACGGAATATTGGTATGAGAACAAAGGTAGGTCTCTGACGCAGAAAATGAAGGGCAGAAGATGCTGGAAAGTCGAATTCAGGAGCAACTTTGCATTAATATAATAAAAATTAGAATCCACTACAGGAGAAAAGGGTCCAAACCAAAGAAGACGATGCTGGGGGAAAAGGCTTTAAAATAGGAAATATGAACACGGAGCTTTTTCTCAACGAGATTTTTATCGCATTTATGATCATCATTATCAAGATCATCAGTACGTACCACCAACTATTGATGGGTGATCACTTTGGGAGACTAAGTGTGATGTAATCAAGCCTGAAGAAGACCGAACGCTTCAACAATAATGTAGGAAATATATAGTAAGTAGAAGGCATGTATAGAGTAAAGCTGTCTTGAAACTGAGTTTCTCAATTTCTCCGAGAGTCAAACAAGAGGTAAGGTACACTACCGGAGGGAGCGTTCATCATTCATAGAGCGTTCGCTCAAACAGGGTTATTTTGTGCATAATTTCTTCACGGCTTGTACAGCTGCTTATTATAATTGGTCAGAATTGATATTGTGCCGGTCCGACATTGCTGACAAACCGACTTTGTCATCCCCATTCCAACCTTAACTAACTTAAGGCAGTAAGGCTGAGCCTCCCGCCGCTTTGAACCCCAGACTTCTAACCCAAGCTCGCAGACGCCTCCTGGCCTCATCGTCATTCATCAGACTATAGCCGGCCTAATCCATGTTGCTAATAACTTGAGCCGAATATAACCAACTATCCAATATGGTTTTTAATCGGTTTCTCCTACATTCCTTCGAGGTAAGCGGAGAACCCGAGCAACACCTGCAAATCCGCTTCGATTAAGCATGGCTGACGAGGTATTAAACATAGATTTGGTTAACAACTCGGGTATGCGAAACCTGATCCGCCACCCTTATCTTCGACCCTGGTACTAACACCTTCCCAAGTTGCTGACCAGTCCAACATTTCGTCGCATGGTGGGAAGGGTGCATGGAAAAATTCAACAGATGAGACATGGCACACCGCCGCAAGAGATGGGCGGCACTAATATAGAAAATACCGGTATGCTTGCGTTAATTTGGGAGTTATTACGGACCGGATAAGTGCTGATTCATCTAGGCTCTAGCCGCCAGTTTCTCAAACACTTCAAGGAGGAGTTAAAAGACCAATTCAAGGGAAAGAAGCCGCCAAAAGACCAGTGATATCCGTTATTATGCGCCCTCGGATTCTATAAACGACACCGCTCTTGTTGCTTAGTGATACCCAGCCTTCACATGAGGCTCGCAGTTACCTTTCCTTCTTTCTTTCAGCCCTCCCAACACCCTGGCGACGTACAATAAGAATGGATATGGATAGGGTGGCTGGTTCAAAAACTCACCATCTCAGTGATATTTAGCGGAGTTTTGAAGAACCGCCATTCAATGTTCTTTCTTTGGTTACTTCGTTATACGTCGACAGATGCAACGACTCTTATCCACACGATGGAAGCTGTTAGCATACGCTCGATTCGCAACGAGCTTCGGGACTCGAGCTCCGAACATCTATCACGGAAGAAACTCGGTATATAGTTCTATGGACCTTACAGTGGGACGGAAAGAGGGTACCTTCAGTCCTTCACCGCTCTCACCCGGCTTCCCGGCATGTCTCAGTCCTGTCGAATCTTACTCCATATAGGACGTCTATGTTCTTGTCTAACCCTACTCCGGACTTCCCGGGACCCATGCTCATTTTCCTAACTCCCAAGCTCCCAACGTATAACAGGGGGTTGACACCTGTATACAAGCTCCTCCGAGTCCTTGTACTCCGTTTGAGCGGCTATTTTGGAACACGCAATTTATTTTTATTTTTATTTTTATTTTATTTTTTTTTCAGGTGGTTCGAGGATACGTTTGAGTGGGTGTTTGTTTGCCGATCAACGTCTCACTTCAACACACCAGGGAGTTGGCGGATGGAGGATATTCAATTATCAATAGTTTAAGATAGACTATCAACTACTAAGTTATAGGGTATTTATGGTAGCCGGATATGAATAATAACGATCGCATTATGTTCAAGATCTGCCCACATGCACGTCGGAACATGGCACAACGTGGCCTGGAAGCTGATAGTACATAGTAACCTAATAATAACGTACCCGCTCTACTTTTAGCGTTTCAAGAGTTCGAAAAGTCTGGCTGCAACGGCACGCCGATCAATTAGGGATCTGGGGGTGGTCCCCTTAATACGAAGGCAACCTGGTAGGACTTTGGACGCCTGACTTTATAGGCCACGTCGCAGCAAGAGCTGATATTTGCTTCAGGGATCAAGCCTCCAGGGCCGTTCATTCGAGCTGAGTTCAAGTTCGGTTACGGGAGAACCTACGAGATCTCGACCATGGATCCACGCAAGGTCAGAGACTGATGGTGCCACTGCGCTTACAATGCTTGCGAGCCTTCGATAATGTTGCAGCGGATGGGCGAATCAGAGTTCGGGAGTGCCTTCTTTCAGACTCTCACTCTCTTAACCGGAGCAGAGGAATCCACGGTCCTGTGACTGCTTAAAATAGTATCAGAACTGTGAGGGCGGCATTGCTTAGATCCTCCAGGTTTGATTGTTGAGAAGGGCAATATTTCTTGATGGAACGTTCACATTTGATCGGCAAGGTTACAATGAAGGATTGAGAACAATAAAGCCGACTGCGCAGCGCCTCTGACAAGAGCAAAGCTGGTAGCCGCCAGTCGCTCGCGGACTTGGGATGGTGTTTTCTGACAGCTGACAAACATGGATGTCGAGACACTGCCCCGTCGTCAGGAGAATGTCTCACGCGACGAGTGCTGAATGGCCACAAAGGCTCTTAGTGCGGCACTAGTCGCCGACCGGGCCCATAATTTGGATTCAAAGAGACAAGAAAAAGCAATAAAAAGTGCCCACAGAAAGAGTCTAGTGCGGTCTTGGACTTTTATGCAGCGCACATTATTTCCCAACTGGGGGTCTCAGGCCGGGACCTGGCCACTTAGACTCTAGCTGAGGATCCCGAATCATCCACTAAACGCAGTTGAGGTCTAGGGCTTTTTTCCGCCCTTTGCGTTGTCTCCGTGACTCCAAGACTCTGACACTCGCGCCCATTCTAACGCCGTCCTTTTATCCTTTCGCTCCCGTTTTTCCATCGCACCCTCCTTACGATCGTTTGAATAACTTCTTCACCTGGATATTGCCTCCACGTTGTCCATCGAGGCAGTTGTCGTTCGTTACACGCACACCTCGCTGCACCCCTTGCCTACCCGCCTCCTATCCCCCTCAGGCCGACCATCATTTTAATCCTCCGTTTCCTCGCCACCAGTGTTTAGAGACGAGACTCGATTCATTTTGTCAAACCCCATCATATTTCATCATCTTCCCCGGTCGTTCGATCCTCCCTGATTCGAAATTTCGGTTGCAAACATCTGAGTAACCCGCCATGCGCGTCACAGCTCTCCCGCTCTTCCTTTACTCCCTGTCCCTCGTGGCTGTGGTAGCAGGTCAAAGTGCACAAGTCACAGACACGGAGTTGTCAGATATCACGGACGCTCTGCCCACGCCCACCGAAACATCAGCGACGGAGACGGAGAGTGATTCATCGACCACCGAAACTGAAGACCCTACTTCGACGTCCACAGACGAGGAGCCGACATCGACCCCAGCTCCAACGTCCACAGACGAAGACACTTCCACCACTACGACGGAAGACCCTACGCAGACAACGGATGAGCCAACTTCAACCGGTGATGACAACACAACTACCGACCCAACTACCACTACAACTAGCACGTCCGACGATAGCGAGCCATCGACAACCAAACCTCCTACTGTGAGCACCATCACAACGACACAGACCATTGATGGAACCCCGGTTCCTACTACATTTACTAGCACTGATGCCAGTGAAGCTACCGAGTCTCCTGGCTTGAGCGGATCTTCTTCTGACAATTCTGACTCTGGTCTTGACTCAAACCAGAAAAAGATCATCATTGGTGTTGTCGTAGGTGTCGGTGGTGCTATCTTGATCGGTGCCATCGGTGTTGTTGTCTGGAGAATCCGCGCCCGGAGACGTGCTGCTGGAGAGGACGACGCTACCGATCTTATGAGTGGCACTGCTGTCGGCACTGGTGTCCGTGAAAAGGCCCCCAGCCCTGCGGCTGGTGGCACTCCATTCAGGTCCACGCTTGACCAGTACCACAACCCCGGCCCCGTTAACGCTGCGTCAAACTTCTAAGGTGAGCCGAGATAATCTCGATAGCCCACGGTTATCATCATAAATATCTGATTATTCGGTTCTCATACCACATATCAACGACTTGTATAAAGTCTGTACGATTATGACGCAGTTAATATATGGCGCTTTGGGGCGAGGAATTGCTGGATTCTTTTTTCTTCTCTCCGTTTTGTTTTGCTCGTTTTTTAGCAGTTTCTCCTTCGCTCATAGACCATGTCGTTCCTTCTTAAAACACGCTCCTTTACTGTGGTTTTGTCTAGCATTTGGTTGGTCACCATCTTTGATTCCCCCTCTCAACACATTCACCTTCTAAAAAATTGTGTGAGCTTTGTAATTTCTGTCTCACTTCTTTATTCTCAGTCTGCATTGGCAGGCCATGGCTTGTTGATTCCCAGGCGGAATAGCATATTCACCAATTTGAGTCACTATGTATTTAATCTCAACAGAAGTATACTAGCACTTGTCTGATCAATCGAACCTGATTTCTTTAGTCGTCAAAGATTCTGTACGGTGTAGCTAATAATAAGCACCCAGGAGACCAGGGTCCTAATCATGAAACAAGAAGATGGAAGTTCCCCGCTCCAGGCACGGAAGGATTCTCTACCCCCTGCAAAGCCTTCCATTGAATAGTTCGTCACGCGTGTTCATCCACGCAAGAGCCGTAAGTCATTCATTCAAACCGTCTTCCTGCTCCTACTCGTCGCCGCAAGTTGCAGACCGAGCCCCTCGACAGCGGCTCAAGAACCCCTCATCAAACGCTCCTGGCCAATGATCCAAATCCGTCAACCACTTCACGTTTACTTAAGCCTGAAACACAAACTCGGCAGCGATGACGACGCCTTCGATATTCAAGTTCCTCCTTGCGCACCTATGGATCGCGCCCACGTTCCTTGCGCTGGCATTCGATCCACTGGGCATTGTGTATGATGTCGCAAAGTCAAACTCACATCTGGCCCGGCGCGTATGTACCTAGACGATACCTCCCCCATCTGTGTCTTTCGCTGCACAGCCGTGGGTCTGGATGGTTGCTGATCACAACGCATTGAATTAGGCGGGAACATTGGGTATTGATATACCAGCGGTAAGTTTGTTTACATTATTTGTGATCGCAATCTCCAATTGGAGTCGTGGGCACCACGCTGATATGTCTCGTAGATTACCAAAACTGGAGACTCGGAGAGGCCTTATAGTGTAGACGGAAATTCATTTGTAAGTCCTTGAGTCGGTTAGCTCCTGTCACCTTTATGAAGTACACGGTTGCTACCTGAGAAGGTAGAACTATAACCAGTATACTTACTGAGCGACTTTGATAACAGGCGGATTATGAATCTGCGGCCCAGAGAAGGTATACTATACATTCCACGACCATACCAGATCTAATATAAACTGCTTGGGATCAAGCTAACTGTCTTCTTTCGAAAAGCTGCGATATTCAATTCGATTCTTGCCAAAAGGTGGCATTTCCCTTGATTGAACTGAAGCAAAGAAGGGCGGCTAATAGAATATATGTCTAGGCTGCCAACACGGATAGTTCAGTGTCGTTCTCACTTGAGGATTGTCAGAGTCAGCAAAGTATGTTTCCTCTCACCATAAGAAAATATTTATTAAGCTCAGGATTCTAACTTTTTGGGAGTAGATGATTGTCGAGCTGATCCACCGGCTGTGGAGGATGAAAACGCCTCGATGACTGCTGCCTCAGATGATAGCTCAGATTCAACGGAGTCGTACACGGCGAGTTCAGACACAGATAGCTCGGAGATAAAGAGTTCAGAGACAGGGTCTTCAGTGTCAACGGGTTCAGACACAACGGAGTCTCAGACAGCGGACTCAAACACCGCAGAGTCTGTTGCAACAAGCTCTGGCACAACGGAATCAGATACGGCGACGCCAATCCCAAACGAATCAGAGGCTGGGCCAATTCTGGTATCACAGACTATACTTCCCTACGATTCGGAGTTTGATCTTCTCTGCGATCTTTGATTGATCGATCGCTTTTGACTTTAATTGTGTGATCTCTACCTTGTGGCCTGAGGAATGAGATATATCCTAGTATAGTTTAGCGTGCACGTGGCAGCGCGTCCTCATTCCCCAAAACGCGACTTCCACCGTATAGACTAAGTCCAGCCACATCGTCGCGGTCTGGGTTATCACTCTATTTCTCCTTTAAATACCGTGGCTAGGAAACTCAACTACATGCACGAGACTATTTTCTGAAACGAAGTATTGAATTGTCGTCGTATTCTGGTGATTTTATCGACTTTCGCCGCATCTCATCTGCGAATTACTAGTCGAGTCTCAACGCCGCGACACCTACAACAAGTCAACGAAAGACAAGGCAAATCAACTTAGTATTCTTATTAACCGCCATGTTTGCTGCACTCTCGCCAATGCAGCAACACGCCCCCAATCCCTTTAGCTACCCCTGGACACCTGCTCGTTCATCCCCGCTCTCCCCGCGCAGAGCAACCTCTTCACTCAAAACCACACCACCAACGAACCAACCACAGTTCCAAGCTCCCACGTCAATATTTGCATTTACGCCCTCGCCATCGCCCTCTCACAATAAATCCGAACCTGCAAATATCTTTTCTCGCTCCCGAAGCGCCAATGCCAATGCCGATACTAACGCCACCACCTCACCAACCCCAGCCCCAACATATGCAACTCGCTACGCATCCACAATTTCCAACCCCCTCAATGCCCACTCCACAAAACGCGCCTTCACATCATCAACCTCCCCGCATGCGCGCTCTGTCCGGCGCAACGCGTTCCTCAACCGTGTTAAGCACGACCGCGAAAGTGGACGGTTTGAGGCGCGCGCAGAGCGGTTAGCCTACCTCGAGGATATTGCGGAGCAGAAGGAGTGGGTCGAGGACATGAGGAGAAGAGCGGATGATATCCAGTCTAAGTTTGGGCTGGGGATCGAAGAGACAGAGGGGGAGGGGAGATATTTAGATGGTGGTAGGTTTTTCCCCCCATCTTTTGTTCAGAGTGACGCCACAAAACGGGTACAACTAACAGCATGTTCCAACAGATGAAGCAGAAATCCAAGCTTTAGATGAGTATCTCGAGCAAGAGCGCATCATGGAGATGGAGCTGCTTGAGCGGATGGAAAGTGCTGCACCCCCTCCACGCGGAGACGTGCCGAAGCAAAATGACGCAGCTTCGTCATTCAGCGACGAGGAATACGATGATATTTTTATAGACCTGGTGGACCGCAATACTCCTGATGATATGGATATGTCTAGTTAAGAAGTATTGTATTGTCTGTCTACGTTTTGTTTTGCGGATACTCGGCGCTCAGGGAAGGCTGCATACATGAGGCGTTCAGGGACCACTAGCGGTCGGGTATACGGGTCTGTTCGATACATTCTATTGTTTGAGTACATACTTGCGCTCTATCCATATGGCGATTTTCCAGGCCAATGATTTCTTCCAGAGAGAATAGCGCACGCAAGCATGTGTGAAGTAAATAAGGGTATCAGCATGTATATGTACAAAGATGCCAGGAATCAAATTAACTTGAATATCAGAGTATCATATGATGTGGTATCCCAGGTGGAGTAGAAGCTTCATATGAAGAGAAAGTGTAGAGCTATGACGGATGTTTTGAGATGGGTATGACATTATATAGATAACTTGGGTAGATTATTGCTGCGGGCAGTCAGGAACACCGCCACCCTTGAGATCATCCATCCAAGGATTGGCGACGAGTTCGTCTGGTGGGTTACCGGCAGCTTGCATCTAAACGGTTGTTAGCATCGGTTCTCCGCATTTTGGATAGGTAGGAACATACAGCCTGCATTTTCTCCCACACATACTCGCGACACTTGGGATCTTCATCCGTATATCCCGGTTCTTCAAACTTTTTCACAATCTGCCTCACTAACTCCGCTTGATTCTCGTAGCGCTCCATATCGGGCTGGCTAACTTTCCCCTTGCCCTTATTATCTTGGATCCAAGGACCAAATTTCGTGTCGAGTTCCTTCATCGGCTCGTATAGCATGTCCTTGTTAGACAGTTGCTCCATCATCCCCATGAAGATCTTTGTGATATCGCCGTCATCACCGCCAGATCCGTCGCCACCTGCCTCCATGGCCTTGAGGAGTTGCGCGATGAGATCGTCCGTGTTGTCTTCCGACGCTGCCGCCGTTGCCTTATCACCCGATTCTTGCATCCGGTTGATTGTCCGCTGGATTGCATCATTGAATGACTCGGGCCCCGCTCCGGCTTCACTCGCTGTATCTGTTGTCGTTGTTGTTGCAGCCGCCGCCGCCGCCGCTGCAGCAGCGGCCCCTGTAGATGACGACGGACCCTGTCCCTGTTCCTTCCCCTTCTCGCCCTCCTCCTCCGCCATCACATCCGCTAAAAGCTGTTTGATGAAGTCACCGGGCGCGATCCCGCTATCCTCTAATTGCTTTGTGAAAGCATCTGCGCCCTGGTTAATGGTGTTTTCGAAGCCTTGTTGGTCCGAGGCGCCGGACTGTTGGGCTGCTTTGCCCATCATATTTGCCATGTCCTTCTCAAGTTGGCTCATGAAGTCAAACTCATCGACGTCTTGGGTCCCGGAGGAAGCGGCGGCATTGGGGGTGGGGGGTTGCGGTGCGGGGGTCTCTGCTTGGGCTTTTGGTTTGAAGTCATCGAGAACCTCTGTGAATAATCATATTAGTTATTTGGTTAGATTTGTTGACAGAGAATTGTTGATTATTTAATTGTGTTCTGTCAGGTAACTCACCGTCCAACTCGTCAAAGTCTGATTCATCGTCCGAGTCATCATTGGCCGACTGCTTTGACTGTTGCTGTGTGGACTCGGGTTTCGGCGTTTCTGTAGAGACGGGTGTAGGTACAGTGTCCTGGGTCTTTTCCTCGGTCTGCGGCGTCGTGCTTGTTTGTTGAGGTGTCTGTTCAAGGGGGGTTTGTGAGTCGCCCGCGGTGGCAGGCGATGCAGATGAAGATGCCATGATGCGAGAACGGAAAAGAAACGGCGAAGCTGAACGCGCGAACGACGAATCACAAGCACAGACAAAAGTAAGCCCGACGATAATAATATGCTAGTTAGGGAGAAGAGAGGAATAGCAGGAGTGTGAGGCAGCTTGAGCTTGTTGAGGACGCTGATTGTGTCGAGAGCATTATTTCATGTGAATCGGCTGTGGATTTGGCGGGGAAAACCGACACCGACAGCCGCGGTTGCAAGCAATGACATACCGTAGTCGCCTTCAATTTAAGCATCTTGCCTCGCTCACTTAATTATTGATGAATACTCGACTACGACGACTTACGGGAGTAATGAGGTTTTGGGATATTGACTTAAGGTCTGGAAGAATCTGGGCCATAAACCGAATGCAATGTCATCCTCGATCGCATTGACCGGATTGGCCCTATAATCAAACCGTCTATTCTGGGCCCAGTCAAGCATGGATATGATTTCCTTGGATTGGGACGAATGCCCAGGCTTAATGCGTGCTAGGCAGCGAGAACGGACCATCGATGACATGGGGATGTCGATGATGTCGACTGTCCGACGACTAGTGAAGTACTATTGAGGCTGTCCGCGTGATGGCACATTATTGCTTTTGTTGGCTTTCGCCGGTGTCAGAGAGGAGGCTAGTTTGATCGGAGTTCTCCAAGACGACGAAACAATAATGGAGAAGAGTCTCCCCCAGAGTCAGACGGGTCTCGCCGATCAGCCAGCAGGATTTAGATGCGTCTACTTTGCGTTTTGCTGCATGTTTGCTTGTTCTCGCCAGTTCCACGGAGGGGGCGGGCGCCTCTGTTTACACTTTGTAGGAACCTGGTATAACACCCAAAAGGTGAGAAGTTCTCTGCCACGAGGCAATCGGTGGTCAGTCCTCGTTGAAGGTGACGCGCGAGTGGATTTAGCCGGAGAATGGCCTGAGAAAGGGGAAAAGGAGGAGAATTGGACGGCGATGGGCCTGACGGCCGATGGGTCGTCGTTTCCCGGTATCGCCAGTTACAGAAAACTCTGCAACCAACTGCAAGGCTGACCACTTCTCCGCGGCTTGTCTTCGATCGCCCCCTTCAGAATTCAGATCCGGGAATGGTCCTTTTATTATTCGCAGTTGATGGATGTATCACCTCGCACCCTGAGGGCTTCCTTTGGAGGCCTGGGGTGAGGACTGAGGACAGGGGAAATCGTTCTTCACACGTTCCAAAAGTTCCATTGACTCCATCACACTTGTTGACAGGCACGACCATCAGTCAGTCCATGGTCTCCCCTCGTTGCCCGGATGGGGAAACAAATCGCATCGGCGGCGGTGGCGGACGGGCCACCAGAGGTCACGACTCCCGGCGACTGGCGACCACGAGTTGACCACTGGCGGCGCTTCGCCTCCCTGGGCTTGGGGCGGATCTTCGGCTGGGTCGTGTCTGAGTCTGACTGACCTCGTCGTGGGAGTGGATCTTGGGTGCCGTGCCCGGGAGCAAAAGAAGCGAGGGGACAGGCCTGTCGCAAATTCGCACCTTTTGTTACGAGGTCCCCTCACGCGTAACGAGCCCGTAGTGGTGGGAGGGGGATTGCCAGATCATCTCGTCCACCAGGTTCCAAGAGGAATGAGCTCATAGTCAGAACCCGTCAACAAGAGAGCGAAGAAAATACCAAGACCCGAGAGCCAATATAGAGCCAATACAATTGAGAGCCAGAGAAGAAGAAATCATCGCCCGTCGGGTCCCTTGAATTTCCTTCCAGTCCAGCGGTTAAGAGAAAATCAAGTAGAGCAGATCCCTGGATTTTAATTAAATAGCATTCATGGCGACCCCTCTTGAAAAAAGAAAAGGCGAGTCTGGGAGTCTCCACGAGGACAAGGCGAACCTTTCCTTTTCTTTTCACCCAGACGGTCTCTCTCTCTCTCTTCGCTGCTCTTAAAGCTTTGCGCTTAGGAAATAATTTTACCTCACAACTTCCCGCCTCGTCCACTCCTCTCCCTCTCTCCTCTTCCCTCCCACTCTCCCCTCTGGTTATCACTGCCTCAGCACCAGTTTTCTTTATGTCACCACCACCTCGTCTACTGGTTCTGAGTCTGTCTCTCGCACGTCCCCTTCTCTGCCGCCTGCCGCGCGTTTCTTGCGTCTGAATCATCCAGTTTAACCCCGGCGGGGAAAAATTCCTTTTTTTTTATTCGTTTTTATTGTTGTCGCGCTCGCCCGCCGTCTTGTCTCCGACTTGACCAGCTCAAGGATACCCCTCTTTTCTTCTTTTCATTTATAATAGACACCGGTCACGCCATCAGCCCCCAGTTAGTTCTGGCGATTTCCCAAGTTTCTCGTCGGAAAAAGGGGGGATAAACGGGCAAAACGCAGCCAGAGCTTCAGGAAGAGATATCCCCCCTCATCGTTAGCGTCCAATGGTGTCTATGGTCGAGACCTCCATCTCGAACCACAATGATATGGCCATGGACCAGGTCGCCCCTAAGTCAGAGCCCCTAAACGAGGGCTCGATCAGCTCTGCTGTATCGACCCCCGATCCCGAGGGCGAGGTCTTGACGCAAGACGTCGCCCAAACGCAAAAGCGAAAGGGTGGAAGAAAACCTGTACGTAAGAACCATCTCCATCTGGGCGTTGACATCCCTTTATACGGCTCCCCCTTGGTTTATCTCTTTATCTCGTCGCATTCCTGCTACTTATCTACTCCTGTTCTCATTTGCTGGCCTTATCTCTTTGCGACATTTTTTTTTTATCTTGTTACACCCTGGTCGGTCCGGGGCCCCGCATCACACCTCTTTATCATTTATCATTCCCATTGATCATCCTTATCACCCTCCCCATTTTCTCTCTCTTTGATTTGTTTTGCATAAGCCTCAATTCTTATTCCAACGTCAACCTCCCTATCAATGCTTAAACTGACCTCCCCCAGATCTATGCGACCTCTGAGGAGCGGAAACAACGCAATCGCCAGGCTCAGGCCGCGTTCCGCGAGCGTCGCACAGAGTACATCCGCCAGCTCGAGTCAACAATTAAGCGGAATGAAGAGTCCCTGCAGACCCTGCAGCAGAATCATCGTACCGCTGCCGATGAGTGCTTGATGCTGCGTTACAAGAATTCTCTCCTCGAGCGCATCCTCCTTGAAAAGGGTTCGGCAACCTCACTGCTTCTACTGTTTTTTTTTTTTACATTTGTGCATATGCTAACCTACCTCAGGAATTGATGTCCAGGCAGAGCTGCGCCTGAAGACTGGTGCCCCCAACGGTCCAGGCCCCGGGAAGCCAAGCCCTATAGCTACAAAGGCTCCGTCACTGCAGCAAGCTGCGATCAGCCGGAGCTCGGCGCAGAGGCATCCTATCGGCCTCGCTCCCAAAGAACCTTTCAGTGTCCCTCAGTCGCGAGATGGAGGCTTCGGTATACCGTCACCTCAATTCCAAGCTACGCCTCCATCTCATGTCTCGTCGCCGTCACACACCAAGTCTCCGGGATTCGGCTTTCAGGGAGCAATGTCACCTGTTGGTGTCGATCCTCAAGCCCAGCACACCCGCCCTCAGATGATTTCTCACTCGAGGAACATCAGCCAAACTTCTCCACCCATGAGCGTAGGCCAGCCAGATACGTCCGACCCGAAATCGGCTGTGTCAGCTGGTATGGGCTCTCGGGCTTCGCGCCTCCCTTCGGCATACTATCCTTCACCATTCCAAAAACATTATGACCAATTAGGTACGTTCAGCTGTCCAACAAACGTCCGACGTTGTGGATTTCGAATTAACACTCAACTAGAGCAAGAATATGATGCACAAGCGGACATGATTGACGATGAGCACGAATCATCCGTGGGAACTTCCCCTTTCGTACCTGGGTTTAATCACACCAGCTCAGTCGCGAATGCCCCTCATGCTATGAACGCCCACGGACTAAATCCCTACAACCACCCCTCTAGCGGGGAAGGGGTTAACGGGGCGTACGGCAATACGAACGCCATTTTGGGGAATTATGAACCGATGCTAGATTCCGACCCGTTTGGACTGAGTGCTAGCATGCACTTCCAGACCCCATTCAGCTACGAGCAAAGTAATGCACGTCAATGACCTTCGAACTGTTCCTGTCGGTGATACCTTTCTACTACATAGTTTGTTTCGTTTCTTGCGACTTCCTGCCGATAGAGCAGACATTTCTCTTTTCTTTATCTCATATTTCTTCGTCCATGGCGCAGGTCCACGGCTATAAGACAAAAGTTGAATTTTGGAGCATTAGCCGGCGTTAGGTGGTTGATACCATTTGCTTCTGATTAGTTTCTTTCTTTTTTTTTTTTGAATCCATTGCTTGTTTAGCATAACTATAGGAAAAGGAAAATGGAAAATGGGCGGCGGGTTGTATAGTCGGGTTTCAAGGCACACGAGACGAAGTTATTTATATACTATTATTCTTTGGCTGAGGTCTTGTTCTTGAGGAGCTCGCTGCACAACGCATTCAGACTTTACGGATTCTCAACTCTTCACTCAATGAATTTGCTTTTCTGCAGAGCACCTTATTGTATGTAATGGTTTTTATTTTTCTATGCTCTGACTAATTGTATTCATTAAACATTTGGTGTATAGCTCTTTTCATTCGAAGCGGTAAACAAGATGAGGAAACAGTCAATAAAAAGTCCTGTCTGCAAATGGTGACGTAAAGATGGCAATCTCACCCGCATTACTCCGGACTCTTTTGGTTGATTGTCATGATAGGCAGACAGCGAGTTACGTTCTTCAAGTCATTCTATGATGTTATCTGCAGGTCCGGTGACGCCAATACCCTAAGCCCTAGAAGCTGATGGCCAATCAGCATAGCCGCCTGCCACTTCGCTTAGCAACCATTCGCACCTTACCCGATTCGTGCGGTACAACCACAAACGAGGAACGTCGTCTCCAAACCTCCGTCACCCCTTCCCTCAATAACCACCCATCCCATCCCCGAAAGGAGACGTGAGACATCGACTATCCCGTCGTCGAGGTTCTGCCTGCCTCGTCTCCGTGCCTCGCCCACCGCGTTCCCGGACCGAATTGTCGCGATAACAGCGAGCCTTCCCCCGGAAGGCCCCTCATAAATCCAGGCGTCATGGCGGACGTCCGGTCCAAGGTACGTTGCTGCGATATGCACTTTGTCGAAGGTTCAGCTCGAGGCGTTTTCTATGGTGTGTTTGATATGTGGTTAGCTGGGATGCTCTAGCTCTTTGGAGTTCTTTGCGAGATGGTTTGGCTTGAGAAGCTTCGATTGGCGGGGATTTGGAGCTTCTGCCTGCTTTACTCACATCTTTCTTCCTGTGGAAACGAGGGAATTGAATTCATCAATAATCTGAGAAAATGCTAACAGTTCTTTCCCATCTAGAACCTCTATGAGCTTCTTGGTAATTCTACCTTCCCCTCACGTTACTTCCCCTCGAGTCCGAGTCTATTCGGCTATCGTCGCGTGATACGGATCTCGAGCCCTTCCCTGCATACGTTCTGTCATTGGGGTTTACCAGTTCTAACATAATATCTATTTCGTTTCTGCAGGAAATGATCCCGAGTTAGACCCCAACAGAGAGCCCGAGCCTCCCACAAGGGCGCTGGACAAGCCTGTTGCCCGACTTGGCAAGCGCGATGCTCCCAAGGAAGCCCCTACTCGTCCCGAGGGACAAACCTCCCGTCCTCGTGGCGGACGTGCCACTGGCAACGAGGCCGGTATGTGGCTCTATCTTTGAGTCTTGCTGCGATGGTTTCCGGTTGCATCCGACTAATCTCAATTGCGTTCATTTATAGCTTTCCGTGACCGCAACGCTGGTAGGGGCAACAACCGCGACAAGCCCGTCGAGGAATCTGGCAACCAGGGCAACCGTGGTGGACGTGGTCCCCGTCGCGACCGCCAGTCCCGCACCGGCCAGGCGTAAGTTTTGCTTATGCGACCACAGTTGATTTCTGTTTTTGTACATATAGCTGACCAACCTTGTTATAGTGATACCCGCAAGCAGGTGAACCAGGGCTGGGGTAACCAGGACGGTGAAAAGACCTGGGACGACGAGCGGGCCGCTGATAACATCGCCAAGGCCGATGAGAACGAGCCCCAGACCCCCGCCGAGGAGGAGGAGCCCGTTGACAAGTCCAAGTCTTTCGCCGACTACCTCGCTGAGAAGGCTGCCCGCGAAGACCTGGCCGCCAAGCCCGTCCGTGCTGCCAACGAGGGCTCCAAGTCCGACAAGAAGTGGGCTGGTGCTAAGGAAATCAAGCGCAGCGACGAAGAGGAGGCCTACATCCAGGGCAAGGATGACAAGAGCAACAAGAGCGCCCCCAAGCAGCGCAAGGAAAAGAACTACCTTGATGTCGACATGCGTTTCGTCGAGGCTCCCCGCACTGGTGGCAGCGCTCCCCGCGGCCGTGGCCGTGGTGGTGGCCGTGGTGCCGGTCGCGGAGACCGTGGCTCTGGCCGTGGAGGCCGTGGCAACGGACCTCGCAGCGACCGCCCCGCCCCCGTCACCGTCGACGAGAAGAACTTCCCCAGCCTTGGCGGCAAATAAATGAACTCGTCCATTTTCCCGCAAATGTCCACACGTTTACACGAACTTCGGGAAACTCGGAACACGATCAGAGAATGATGCAGAGCAGTTGTAGGCAGGTTTTCCTTTCAGGAATATCAGCGCGCAAATAAAGTGTGGCAAAGGCGAGACTGAGAAGGATATAACCCATTCCGTTTTTAGGTCTCTTTTTCAAACAAAAATCGGCTCCCCCATGTACTTTGATTTGAATGTCAAAAATAGGAAAGTGAAATTCAAAACACATGAATTAGATATAAGCCGTAGGTCCTGAGTAGATTGCAGAAGCCGGAAGCTGCATCAAACTACATTACGATATGAGTGGTCTGATGTACGAGCTTACCCCAGACAATCACGGAACCCTGCATCCTGTCAATCTGGGGTACAGACGGATTCGGGAGATTCTTGTCCCACTAGTATATTTTTGGTAATGGATATAGAACAGCAGTAACTAAGCCATCCCATGATCTCTTCCGAAGAGTAACCCATCAGCTACTCTAGTCAGTTAACATACACTGCGAGGCAGTATATAGGTACATGTATATATATCAGTGAGTTCAAGTATAGCAAGGCTACACACACACACAGAGTCCGATCCTTACAGGTCCTCCCTAACAGGGTCCTCAGGGGAACCCATATCAGGGTCAGCACCAGCACCAACATCACGCTCATCCAAAAACCTCAAACCTTCCATCGCATTTCCACCGCAAGCCCTCTCCAACGCTAAAAATGCAAAGTGCCCACCAGTCACCGGCCTGGCGTAGAAATTCGGCCCGGGGTATCCACCGTCGTCCTCCGTGTTATGTAGATCGGTGAGAGGCAGGTCCGTCGACGTCTCGTTGACCCATTTTGCGACGGATTCAAGGATCTGCGAGCGGACGGGCTTGGATGCAACAGCGACCGCAAAGAACTCCCAGTCTGTCTTCGTGTACAGATGGCGCGAATCAAGAGGGAGACCGTATTTTTGGCGCACGTTGTGGTACCAGTTGGATTGTTTGGTGTAGATGTGTTGGGGCACGAAGCCAGTTTCCTTTTTTGGTGGGCGAAGTGGGGTTTGATCCTTGTCAGATAGGTGTGGGAAAGGCGATGGATCGAGTGATGTGCCCTCGAGGTGGAAGCACAGCTGGGCGTCCGCGTAAAGGTTGTAGATTGTTGTCCAAGAGCCATACCAGTTGTAGGCGAGTTTGGCATGGGTTTTGTCCCGCGACATACCGAATTCTTCCCATTTTGCAATATAAGTGTCGGAGATGTTCTAGCAAGCTGTTAGCGAGGCATGTCCTTTAAGAGGATGAGGGGGCTCGTACCTTGTAATATTGGACATCCTCTTTGTATCCTCCCACTTCGGCAAGTTTGCTCATAGCATGGATACCGATGATGCCTTTCAGTGCAAGGTTCGTTTGGAGCGCAAGCCAGCCAGCAAAGTCATCTGTGGAGACTGGAAGAGGTGAGATTTGATCATCGTTGTAATGAATGGCGAGGATTGACTTACGCTGGTTCGCAGGTTCGAGTGAGTACTCGACCAAATAGCTGGTCCATTGTGTCCAGAGGTTATAGCTGCGCTGAATCCATTTCTCGGCTTGACTACGACCGGAGGCACCACCTCCCCATTTCCCGTCCTGCCTGTCGATCCCTGAAAGAGTCTGAAACTCATTTAAGGGGAAGTACCCAGCATTCTCCTCCGACAGTACTGTAGCTTCACCTTCTGTGGACCAGATTGATGCCGCAGCCGTATCTTTATCATAGAGCATCGAGTTGACAATGGCTAGTCCCATGATGAGAATGTTGCCGCATTCTTCAACAGGCATATACTCGTCGTTCCCTTCGGGGTGACCCGTGGCGTTGGGGAAATGTGTTCCCAGGTCATGCATGGCATACTTGTTAGGGTACTGTCCGCTTAGCATGTGCTCTATCAATGGCTCCAAAAGATAGGCCAGCCAGCGGGGGTTGGTATATAGGAAGAATGGAAAAGCGGGGAAAATAACGTCGATGGTCTGGAAGTTCCCGTTGGAAGAGATCTCTTTTAGGAATAGGATTGGGTCGTCTGGAGTGCCAGAGAATGTCGTTGCGCCCATAACTTGTCGAGCAGTAAGTGCTACAATATCAACATAATCTTGCGCGCCAGACTCGTAGGCATCATCAGCCAACTGGAGAGAGTAGTTGGCAGCCAAGGACGCTGCATTGGCAAAATCGTTGTAGTGGTAACTCAATAACGACTCGGCACTCTCAAACCAGGACTTCCAAAGAGGGCGCATCATGGTCAGGCCGCGTGAAGAGGCATATTGCACGACCGTGTCCTGAATAAGGGCTAGGGTGAAAGTGACGCTGTCGGCTGTCACGCCCGATTTCCGGGAGGGCACAAAGGACTTGGAGAAGGCGAAAACAGGCTCTCGATCCCCTATTTCCCTAAAGCCATCATCGTTTACATTTGTCAGGGAGCCCCTTACAGCAAAGGTATGCCGCACTGATGGGGCCGCTCCCGACTGATATTGGACGCCCTGGTCTTGTTAGCTCAATGTCGAGGGGTTGCTAGGAGGATACCAACAGCAGGTCCCGTAAAGTGAATGGAGCCCCATTCAGCTCGATCATGAATTTCAGAAAGAAGCAGTTGTGTCTCGCGTTGTAGGCGCCATCTCTGGAGGCTTGGTGAGGCATCAACAGAGGGCCGTTCCGCCTCATACTGCCATGTAATCTGGCTGTCTGGCGCTCCGCTGACCCAACGGCCATTGATATCCATATAAACATTCACCGTCACCTCACCCTCAACGTGGATCGTAACATAGGACGCTGGAATCGACTGCCGCAGAGTCGATGTCGGGGTTACCGGAGACAGGAACGAAACGGTGATGTTGAGCGGAGTAGAAGTGGCTTGGGTGTTGATGCTGTAGGTTAGATTTGTGGTCGACGCATCGTATTTTGCTCCGAGATAGGTAGGGAATTCATATTGCGATCTAGTAGTTGTCAGGCGTCTGAGATTCTGGATAGGGCTCAAGAAGCATACTCCGGAAGAGACTCATGGGGCTTGCCTAGCAGGGGATAGACAGTGCCGGTACTCGGAACCTGGGCCATCAAGGAAAGACCCAGCTCTTCTCCGGTATAGAAGATGGGCCATTTGGACCAAGGGACATCCCGAGCATTTCCCAGCCAGGTGCTCAGGTAGGGGTTTCGGACGATTAGGGGCAGCACAGGCGGAGTTAAACTAGACGCCAGAGCAGCGGTCGCCTCGAGGGCAACTGCCAACAATGCAAACGACGGTCGCATTGCAGCGCGTGAGAACGAGTGGGTGTTACCAATGAAAACAAACAATATGGTAAAGACCAAGGGGGGAATCCGGTTTGGTATAACCAAGCAAGCAGCGTAACCAAGACAGGGATGGTGTTTAGAAGAAGCCTGGCAAGTTGCTTCCCGGCTCCTCGAGCGGTGTTTTATGATGACGCAATCAGACAGGAACCGGAAGATCAACCCCAAACACTGTCAGCATTCGGCGGCGGATCCGTGTCAGGTGGCCCAGGTGGGTGTTTCAACAATTGCAGACTGTCTAGATAGTAAATATGATGATGGTGAAGAAGAAGGGCGATGGAGGAGACGAGAGGTTGAGGCGATGACGAAACGGAAAAGAAATGCGGGGAAGCTAAGGCTCCTCCAGTGCCAGTGTGGTCTGTGGCTGGCCCTGGGAAAGTCTAAGAAAAGGCAAGAGTCGAAAGACAGTCATTTGTTAAGCATGTTATATTTGTTGGAATTTGTTCGGATTTAATGCATTCCTCATGTTGGGAGCTCCATTCTTCATTCTTCGTGCTCGGATGTTGTGCGATCACCAGGTCCTGATAACAGACACGCTACGTGCTGGCAGTGGAGCGCTATGGGTGGGAATATATAGTTGCAAGCCTCGTCAGGTGAGTGTGCACAATGTAGTGTTTCGTGGATACCGCGTTGGGTTTGCACCTCCATTGTATATCTACGTCTATGCCATCTGAGCGCCTCAACATATCTATATAAGCTGCTGTCTGTTGGCACGTGGGACACTCGGGTATCTCGATCTCAGACGCGTCGGGGATAAAATACCAAAACACTGCAAGGGATGTAGAATACACAAACAACGAGCTGAGAAAATTAACATTGACATGTTTGAGCGCCCAAACCCTTGATTTATCCTGGATAAACATTGAATGTGGAGTGGTTGACGCGTGGGAGAGATCGCGCTATTACCCACTTGTATCTGTATCTGGATGGCTTCAAATCACTCCGCGGGCTTTCCACCACGCGTCTACCTCGACTTCTCCTTCACCACCAGCTTTCTGTCTTCAATTGTGGCACGGAATCCCCCCCGTCCATTATACCCGTGTTAACTCCTCCGTTCGTTTTTAATTTCTATTTTCTTCCCTTCATAACTTCCCGTGCAATTGTCATAAGATCCCTCTACCGCGTTTCTCCCAACAATATTCCCCATACACGCTCTACCTTGCCTCCCAAAATACCCTCGTACCCCCCAGAACTTCCCTTGCGATGTCCCAGTCATTGGTCAACCCGAGCCCTCTCAAGGAAGGCCGGCGGATCCTCAGCGAGAAGAGCGCCAACGCGTGTCTCTCGCCGGCACGATCACCCACTAAACAAATGCCCTTCAATTCTCCGTCCCCAAAGAAACTGCTCCCATCACCTTCGTTCGTCGCCCAAAAACGATCTATTAGCCAGCTTGACGCGGAGAATGTCGAATCGCGCCTGCCAGTTCAAGGGCAGTGCGTCGAGGCACGTCAAGCACAACATGAAGCTCCAGCGCGGTCTATTGCAGACCTTGATAATCGCGTACGTTCTTATCTCCAAACAATTGAGGCCAAATATTCGGATATCCACGTACCGAACCTGTTGCCTTTTGGTTCTTGTTGTTCTTAGTGCACCCATTTAACTGTCTGGAATAGCCTCAATCCACATCGACATCAACATGCGACGCGATGAACCTCGACGTCCCCGAACAAACAACAAAATCCAGCCAACAATCCTTATACCAAACAAGCCCAGACAGGTCGACATCAAAAGGTCCGGAAGTAGGCTCAGCAAGCTCCTCAAAAACCATCCCGTCAGACCCCGAAATGCGCAAGCAATTTATACAAGAAGTATGTCCATAACAACAATACTCCCAGCAGATACCGCCTGCTAACGAGCAACAGAAAGCAACTCTTCTTCGTAATAGACTCCAAAACGCCATGCGCCACGTCCGGGACCCACAGTTCGACCGCAGAGTATCAGATTTAGAAGAACACAGTCGAAAATACCCTCGACTATCAGCGTCAGTTTCTGGGTCTGGATCACAACTCCAGAAACATCTAGAGCAGAAGTATGGTGCGGGTGCCGAGGAGGAAGAAGAGGATGATGGTGAGCCAATGCTCTCCACCCCACGCGCAACGGGACGAGACCAAATCCCGGAAGAAGAGCGAGAAATTACCCATATCGGCGACGACGAAGATGGGGAGACAACGCCCACCCAAGACAATGCTACCCGACACACGGATGCGAATCCAGATACCGGGGCGCCCGCATCGCCGACGCATATGCTTCTGAGCAGCCCTACATATAACTCGACCCTGCAAACCGGCCGGTTTGATGATGATCGGCCCATGGCGGGTGACGCGACTGTGGCTACATCACCCTCTTCATCGCAGAAGGGCGAGGGTCGTGGTGACGGAGATGCCGTTGACGGTCTGCTTAAATTGATGGGAACAAATACCAGTCCAGCTACGACTACGACCCCGACTACTGATATGGGTACCGAAACACACGCGAGGGCATGAGATTATGGTGTGGAGTTTCAGGTGTAATCTAGATGCTTGATTTGGGTGTTTTGGAGTATTGGTGTAGATCATTGGTGGTGTTTAAATACATACCTGTATGGTTTAGGTAGCATGGAATAGCCTTTGGCTTTATTATTCGCTCAAAAGAGAAGTAGAGAAACACACCGTGTATACTAAACGAAGTACACTCTATCTTTATACAATAATATAAACAGAATTGAACTGAACTACCTAACCTTCTTCAACTTATTCCTCTTCCTACCCAAGATATCTCTCCCTTCATCAATCTCCACCATGGCTTCCCTCTTTGCACTCCCCACTTCCTTCAACAACGTCCCCTTCGCAACCCGACTCTCAAGATTAACACCCTCCTCTTCATACTCTACCATCTGTCTCCCAACCCGCTCCTCAATGGCCAAAACAAGCTGCACATCGCGCTGCCCCACAAGCGTCACCGCTTCACCAGATCTCCCCGCACGCGCAGTACGTCCAACACGGTGCACATAGTCATCCGGGTTTCTAGGGACATCGAAATTAACAACCAGACTAACGGACGGGATATCGAGACCACGCGAAGCGACATCCGTCGCAACGAGGACGCGGGCCGCCGTTGCTCGGAAGCGGGCCAGGTTCGAGTTTCGCTCAGACTGGGGTAATGTAGAGTGAAGGGATGTGATTCTGTGGCCCAGTGAGCGGAGGAGACGCTCGAGGAGATCTGCTGTTTTGGTGGTGTTTGTGAAGACGATGGCGGATTTGGAGCTGTTTGACTCTGTGGAGAGGAGGGCGTGGAGGAAGGCTTCGCGGTGGGTGAGCGGGACTTGGACGTAGGTTTGTTTGAGGGTAGGTGGGACGGAATCTTTAGTTTCGGAGGAGATTTCGGTGACGAAGATGGGTGGTTTTCCGTTGGATTGCGGCATGGATTTGAGCGCGCGGACCTCCGGTGTGAGAGTTGCTGTGAAGAGGAGCGTTTGGCGTTCGCTGGAGGGTGGGAGGGTGGAGAGACAGGTTTCGACATCTGGGAGCATGCTTCCTTGTCCGGGAGAGAGGAGGCGGTCTGCTTCGTCGAGAACGACCATACGCACCCGCTTGAGGCCTGCGATTGTGTCTGCACCTGAGGTGTTGATGTGATCTGCCAGACGGCCGGGGGTGGCTACAACGACGTGAGGTCGTCGTGCGAGCTCGAGGGCCTGCGAGCGCATGTCTGTGCCGCCGGTGACGAGAACTGGCTTCATGCTTTGCGGGGCGGAAATGGCCTTGATCTGCTCAAAGATCTGAAGCGCAAGCTCACTAGCGTACAGTTAGCATTCTAAATTCTCTCCCTCTCTTTTGGCTGTCATCTGGGTAGCCAGAAAAGTCATACCGAGTCGGCGTCAAAATCAATCCAAAAATCCCAAACGGATCCTCTGCCCACTTCTGCAACATCGGTACCGCAAAGGCAATTGTCTTTCCGGAACCCGTCCGACTACCACCAATACAGTCTCTTCCCTTCAGAACCTCTGGAATACAAGCCCGTTGAATGGCAGTTGGCTTGCGAACAGCCATGGTCGTCAATGAGCCAATTAACCACGGCGCCACTTTCAGCACCTTAAACGAAGACTCTTCGGCATTGAGCCCTATCTCCAGCGCGTCTTTAATAAGAACAGGATTCTGATCATCCTTCCCTGCTGTATTATCATTGGTTGCCGTGGTCTTTTTCTTGATTCGTGATAGTGAGGGCAGCGGTGCTGGGGCGGGCGCTGCGGTGTATGAGTCTGATGAGGACTCTGAGAGGCGCCGGCGTTTTGGAGTACGGGTTTGCAACTCTGTTGGGTCTACCTCAATCCCACCATCAGAGGCATCTGACGACACAGAGGATTCCCGTGAAACAGACTCGGAGGGAGATGAGGGCGCCATAATGTGTTGTGCTGCTTGTTGAAATTCTTCCAATTCCCCCGGCAGTAAAAAAAAGTTGATGGTGACCGCGTAGGCGGTGAATATCTATGCATCACGTGACTCGATATAGATGTGAGCAATTTTACCGCTTGATTAAAAAGGGCACCCTTACTTAGTAAGGGTCTCTATTGCATGTTCTCTCCGGTTGACAATATATATATACTGCAGACTTTACCACTGCAAAAAGGATCAACCCTCCTTGGGGAGCGCTAACACTGACTAATACTCTGGCTGTCAATAACTAACTATGGCTAACAGTTACGATCTATGCATAGATTAAATGCTATTGGCTAGGAATTTGCGTTTATATGGCTATATACTCGCAAAATAATAAAGTGTGGTACCAAAAACGTAGGTTATTCCTGCTAACAACCTCGACTTCCCGTGTGTCCCCTCCGTCTCGCTTGGTGCTCGTAGACTCCCATTTCAATATCATTCTCCGGCGCTGAAGGAACCAAACCAGGTTCCGCGGGGAGCATAAGACCCTCTCCCCTTGGGCGCTGAGAACTGGTTTCTTCAGGGTCAGGAATGTGTCCATAAACGCCGCCAACGCTTTCCATAGTAAACGGGCTTGCAGTGGGCCCATCCAACGCAGAGAGTTCCTCTTGAGTAAACCAGCGAGGTAGCAGGAAGGAGCGCACGGGGATCAGGAACAGAATAATAACCGGGAATCCAATAGCAGCTATCGTCTGCGTAATGGCGAAGGTGCCGCCGAAGCCGATAAGTTCAAGAATGACAAACACCCAGATAGCCTTGCGGCGCTCCAGGCCCTTGAGCGGGTCTGACCGGGGTGTGAGATCGCGGTCTTGAGCTAGAAAGATCAATTTCTGGGTAATACCGTTGCCTTGGAGGGCTTGGACTCCCATGACGAAGAAGAGGCCGGCCATGACGCCTTGGGGGATTAGATGGAGGACTATAAGAAGTGGACCGGACATGGTGCCTAGCGTTAGGAGACCCTGTGCAAAGTTACTGACTCGCTGCTCCACGACGTGGTCGGTAACGCGGATTGTTTTTCCCTTGTTGGTGTCGTCCTCATCCGCTACATTGCGGGTGACGCAAAGAGCCGACGTGTGGAAGGGTGCTTGCGGGATGAGGCCATTTGGAAATGGGATACCCAGGATTCCGGCAACGAATGTGGTCAGCCCCAGCAGCCAGATGTCCCAGTGGAAACCTGCTGGTTTGCGGAGGGGGAACTCCGTTCCCTGCGCAATTAGTGACGATACTGCGTCTGTTAGTGGAGTCAGTGCAACTGGGAGGTTAACAACTCACCATTGTGGTCGAAGTAGAACAAGATAGTAAGAAGAATAGCGAAAGGTATTGCGAGGAAGATATCCCCAACATCAATATCCCAGAAGTGCACCAGCCATCCACGATCCGCGGTAGGAAAGAAGGATTTCGAAGTCGGCAACGTCGCAACCTCGACATTCCTCATATGGCCGATGTGTACAAATCCAGTGAAGAAAACAATCGTCAACGGCGTACCGTAATCCTCCAAAAATTTGCGAACATATCTTTGGAATAGACTGCTGTTTCCAAGCTCTCCACAAATCCACGCAGACATGAGGACCAGCAGGGCCACCATGATGCTCAAATACGCAGATGTCTCTCCGGCGAATCCCCACTGTCTCGTCAGGACCTGGATTCCTTTCTGGAGGTAAATAAATGCAACATAGAATCCAAAAATGTCACAAGAGAAGCGAGTAACATAGGTTAAACCATTACACGCGTTAGTTATAGCAAGTATCCAATGCATAATAAGCGACCAGCTAGAAGGACATTAACAATCATAATCAATCAAGGCAGACGGGGCAACACTCACATGCCAATCCAGCACATAAACGCAAGATATGGAGTCCCGCGCGGTGCGATAATGTCGTAAACAGTGTAATTGAACACCGTAATCGGACCTGCGACTATAAGCGATCTCGCCTTCCACAACTACGAGGATTGATCAACCCACCAGTTACACCAACAATCACCAACGGCTGAGCCGCAAAGACAGAAAATACAAAAGAGCCCAATACTGAAGCTAGAAGTACCTCATTGACGCCGTAACTTTGATGAGTTTTCTCAAACATATCAAGCGAGAAAGCCAAAGCCGGTAGAATGCTGTAACCCAAGTCAGAATAAACACATACTTCCAACCAACTCCAGGTAGTTCATGTCCATGGTGCTAGGAGGGGCAAGCATACTTCGCAAAATACATATAGACAGTAGCAGGGACAACGCGGTAGTCCCAAGCATCAGCCCAATCACTCCAATAGTAAGGAGCTCTCCGTTTGACATCGTCAACCATGCCGCGGAAGAAACGAATTCGCCACCATCTGGGCTCATCATTGACTGTGTTCTCCTCGTGGTAGTGCTCACGCGGAGTCTGTTCTCCTGACGCCTCAGGAGCGGCAGAGCCTTCATCTTGCGCGCCCTCAAATGGTGCTGAGGAGTGACGAGAGAACAGCTTCGAGGGCGATCGCCAGGACCTCCGCTGGGAATGAGAGGACGCCGGTGGAGAGGACGAAGCGTGGAAGTTGGACCCGGGGAAATGCAAGGGCCCATGGGACGAAGATTCCCGGCTAGGTGATCCCATGTTGGAGTTGTACAGACCGTGGTTTTTGTGGTTGTATGCAGCGGGATGTTGCTTTGCGGAGCACAGCCGATGCGGTTGATAGGAATAGCCGAATTCTTGACAAAAGCTCTGTCGGACAGAACAACCTGGGGTCTTAAATATCTAAGAAAAAGAGCCAAGCCTAAAACGGCCCCGCTAAATAAGGTATACGACAGCCATTTGAAAAGGCTCGAACCGCCATAAGAGAGAAAAGGTAGGGTAGGGATGCAGGGAAAATACGCAGTTAAGATGGTATTGAGGCCTAAGGCACGAATCTACTCCACAATCTCCAGCGACAACAGTGACCAGGGGCTGTCGTCATTACCATGCACTTGCTCAATTCTGGTGGATGAGGGTTGACTCCTTAAAGATAAGTGGACTTTATCATTCGCTGCTCTGGAAAAACAACGCCCTCCCACTCCTGCTGAACTAGCGCAGGCCACGGAAGGTTCGAATTACAAAGGTTCTATTGGGCATCTCGACTTCTCGATGGGAAAATAGAAAATCAATTCGTACGGTTAGTACTAGACGTTAGTAGCAGTTAATAAGACGCCATGAAAAAAAAATAAAAAAACACCAGATTAGACTAATTGATCCCGGAAGGAAACCAAGCGTAATACTGTCCCTTCGTTGTTTTAAACCAAGGAGCCTTCGCCCTTACCATTTTGTAGCAACTAAAAACAATTCAACAACGAACAAAAGTACCGATCATTTGTTTAAGCGGGAGGAGGTGGCGGGGGCTGGTCACTTGGAGGTGGAGGGGGAGGTCCTTCGCCCGGAGGAGGAGGAGGAGGACTGCCACTCGCGCCATAGTACATCGAGGGCATTCCGGGCGGGGGTGGAGGCGCACCGAGACCTGGAGGAGCGCCAGGAGGAGCCATACCAGGGGCAGCAGGGGGATACCCGGGGTAGCCTCCATAACCATAAGGAGCTTGTCCAGGCGCAGGAGGAGCTGCCTGTTGCCAGGGTGCAGCAGCTCCGGGAGCGCCGTACCCGGCAGCTGCATAACCGTAATCGTTGGCACCATGGCCTTGCGAGGCCCAAGGTGCTGCACCGCCGTTGTCGCGAGACCCATAGTCGTCCCGACGGTTGTCGCGGCGGCCACCGCGTTGTTGCCAAGGGGCCACATCTCCTGCGGGAGGAGGGCGTTCCCAGGGTTTCATATCTCCGTCGTCGTAGCCGTCGGGGCCACCTTCAATCCGGCGCATGGGTTGGCCATCAGGCCCAGGAGCACCACCAGACAATTCGTTCATGAGTTGCTGAGGAGACGTTAGCATGCGTTTATTAAAAAAAAGAGCCTACTAGTGAGTGAACGTACCTCCATCTCCCGGTCAACAGCATCACCGCCGCCAATAGTTCTACGGCCACCGTTGAAGTCGCCATTGTTGCGCCAATCGCTGCCTCTCTGGCGGTCAGGGCAATCACGAGCCATATGGCCAGCATTTCCACAGACGCGACAAATGATATTGGCAGTAAAGTTTCGTTGTTCGGGACAGTCGTACTTTCGGTGGCCGATTTGACCACCTATTCCATGTTAGCTAGAGTTCAAATGGGAGAAAACAATGCACTTACAGTTCTGGCAAGCTTGGTTCTCATCATCACGAAGAGTACCGTTGAGAGCAGCCAGCTCACGAAGTTGGTTCCTCTTGAGCTCGTTTTGACCTTCGGGGATAGAGGCAGCCTGCATCAACCATTAGTGAAAATATTCGAATATAGAATAAGAGAATGCTTACCGTCTCAATAACGTTGTGTATAAGCTTCTTTGCTTTGTTAACCTTGTCTTCAGTATCTGCCATGATCAAACAATGAAGATCTTCTTCCTGATTGCTAGCGTGAGCAGCGTCAGACCGGCCCTTTCCTTCCTTGACGGAGCCTTTTCCGCGGATAGCAATCTTTGCACCAGACTCGGTCTCCATCTTTTTCAATGTATTTCCACGGGGACCTATGAGTAAGCCAACTGTAATAGGTAGCAAGAGCTATGTGTTAGTTCGGTTTGTTTTCCTTGGTATTTCTTGATGATGTAAAAAGGCATGTGCGCAACATTAAGCAACAAAAAAAAGCAAGGGTTAGCAAGAAGCGAGCCGAAAAAGAATCGCTGAGAAGCAGCGATGTCTTGATCGTGAGCCCGACTCGAGCAACGAGTGAGTGCAAAACGGTTAGGAGTTAGAGGGTTAGTTATCATACTGAAGTTAATCTCTGGGTAGTCATTCACAGGCACATAGACCTTCTCTTGGGTCTTAGTGGGACGCCTATAGTCAGAGGGCGGGTGATAATTAGGAATGGTCTGCATCGCTTTTTCCACGAGTTTGTGACGCTCATCCTCAAGGCGTTTGCGATAGCGGTATTCCCTAGTGTTTACACGTCGTCCAAAGTTATCGTACTGTGGCGGGGGAGACGGGGACCTAGCAGATAAATGTTAGCGTCACGAATAAGATATGTTGAAGACATGGAGGTACTAACCTGTCGCCATCCGCGGGGACGACATCGTTGATCCTGAGCTTCTGGCTAATCTCCTCAATACGCAAGTGGAGAGTATAAGCCTCGAGCTGCTCGGTGGTGAAGTTGGCCATAATCATGGTGGGCAAGCCCATCAGACCTGCGGCCTTGTTCTCCTGAGCATCGCCCCAACGGTTGCGCTTCTTGCGTCTCTTGACGCCGTCAGCTGGAGGGTCGGCTGCAATCGAATCTAGTTAGAAAGTGTGGGAAAAGGTACAGTAAGGCAAAGGACATACCTCGAATAGGACTTCTACCACGGTGATCCCCAGCGGCGGACGCAGGAGTCGCGGTACGACTATCGTCCTCATCACCACCAAACCGTCTCTTCCCTAAAGGGATATTGTTAGAGCCCGTGATGCCTTGGTTGCGCCACGACATCTTCCTGAGTTTGGGTAGATGCTGAAAATAAACCTGTCTGATAAGTAAGGATAAAGGAATTGGCCCAACTGTAAAGTGAAAGAAATGTCCTCGGATGTGGCAAGCTACCTGATCACGTGGGCTGAGAAATTATATGAGTCAGCATCCACGCCCGGGCAGATTGTCAACTATACCACAGCTAGTGTGAAAACAAAGACAATGAATTCACATATAGAGGAAATAATAATATTATTAAATTAATACTTCGAGCTCACTTGACTACATAGGAAACCATCAGCAATCCGGCTCAAAATTCCTGGTCGCAGTTAGCCAACCAGGGCAAAAACCATACGGCGTACGAACTATTTAGCATCCTTCTTCATTCCATCCTGCACCCAAGCCCTGGCCTTCGCAGCCTCCTCGTCAGCCTTCTTCTTATCCTTCAACAAATCCTTGATCGTATGCGGATTAGGCACGTGTCTCCCCTTCTCAACCCCCTCCCTAGCCGCCAGCTTCTCTTCCCAAGCCTTCAGATGCGGGAACTCCTCAATATCAATTCCCGCCCATCCCGCAGCAGCAACCCACCCCCAGTGCGAGATATCCGCAATCGTAATATGATCACCCACCAGGAACCCGCTCTTTGACTGCGCCAGATGCGCATCCAGAACACCGTATAGCCGCCTCGTCTCATTCACGTACCGGTTCACGCCGTACTCGATGCGCTCGGGCGCGTACCGCGAGAAGTGGTTCGCCTGGCCCTGCATTGGGCCAACGCCGGCATTTTGGAAGTATAGCCAGCTGATTGTCTCGTAGTACTCGCGGGTGCCCTGGGGGTATGAGATCTTGTGGTCCTTGTCGTATTGCTCCGCGAGGTAGGTGAGGATACTGCCGGATTCGAAGAGGCGGATCTTCTTGCCGTCCTTGAATGTGTCTGTGAGCGCGGGGATGCGGCCGTTGGGGTTTATTTCGAGGAACCAGCTGTTGGTGTTCTTTGATTAGCTTTCTTGTGAAGTGGTAGGAGTATGAGGGGTATCGAGCGGGGTAAAAGAAGGCGACAGGACGTACGGCTCTTTCTGAACGTTCTTGCTGATGTCAATCTTCTCGACTTTGTAGGGGAGTCTGTAGAATTGGTTAATACTGTAGCTATTTGGGTGCTTTGGGAAGTATAGAAAGGTAGGGCGGGCAAGCATACCCAAGTTCCTCCAAAGCAATGGATATCTTGATTCCATTGGGAGTCTGGGTTGTATACAAGGTGATATCAGGGCTAGACATGATGGAAGATGCAGAAAAGAATCGATTGAATCGAGTCGATGGAGGTACCGAGGATGGTTGGTAATGACGGGAGAAACTGCGGAAGCTGAAGCTAGGCGAACGGCCTTTATATACCCTCAAAGCCGGCGCCCACTTGACCCCGCTCATTATTTATAATTGAGGTGGTGCATGAGTTACCTCAACCTTGGGCCACTCCCGCACACAAGTAATGATGCCATCGCCCTGAGGGCCCCACAATACTACGGGCGGTTGATTTCTAAGCTACTTCACGATCTTCAAATAAAAGTAGCCGTGGTGGGAGAAGTCTACCCCGGCCGAGGGACCAAGTTTACTTGGAGAATCGATTGATAAGCCGTTGGGGCCGAGAGAAGCGGGTATTGGAAAAACGTGGACTAAGATAGAAGCCAGATGCCATGGGTAAGTGGTTTGAGATTAAAAAGACAGAGAAATATCTACAGCGAAACGTGTAACAACTCTCATCTACCCAAGTGTCTGATAGATGAACTCCAAGCGCCTGAGAGACAAAGATCTGTCATCAACAAAAAAGGTTTGCTTGCACTTCTTTCATAGTCTAACAATAAGACTGTAACCAACCACCTCTTACATTGTTTCTTTTACCACGTGAAACTCTCCTCGACAAAATCGATCTGGGTTTTGTCTTGTCGACTCCTGCATGTCCGGCGAACATCGTCGCTCAGACTGCCGTTACCGCATACTAACACGCCCATTGCTCCGACTTGGTTCTCGACCTCCATGCCGACTAGCGTGTCGATGTTTGGTCGCCCAGGGAACATCTGCACGGTGGAACTAGGGCTCTGAATTTCCTTGGTGTTGCGCGGCCGCGTAATGAACAGCATGATCCGGAGAACCTCCCGTCGGCGGTTCATTGCCAGAATGCTGGTCATCCAGGGTCTGATCCATTCCAAGTGCTCCGGCGATTGAATGATCCAGACCAGCGTGACGCGGCGTGCTGCCACAGTTCCATCCGCATATCCTTGGACGAGATGGCGGGTAAATGGTACCAAGTGGGTGATACCAACACCTCCGGCGAACAGGAGGACTGACCCGTATGAGTCCATGGAATGGATCGCGCCATATGGGCCCTCGGCGAGGGCCGTTAGAGAGACTTTGCAGTCGACAGCGCTCACGGCGCGCTGGAAGAGCTTGTCGGTGAAGCCAGTTCGGCGGCGGACGAGCAGCGAGATCGTCGTCTTTTGGGGGCCGTAGACATCCCGGTGGCTCACAGGGAGACTCTTCTCGTCACCCATTACATCTTCCACGTCACTCCACCCGACCGAGAACGGGTGGGACATCCACCACCCGATTGATGGCATGTACAGGTACAAATGCTGGCCGGGCTCGAAATACCAGGGGCGCGACAGCTTGAGAGTGATTCTCATAGCGTCACCGGGAAGAGCTTCCACAACCGCGGTGGTAGTGCGGCCTCCAATATTGCGGTACACAATGATCGCAAGACGTGCAAACCTCTGCTCGTATATTAGCTCGCTTCATCATCTGGCATTAATTAAGTAGGAAGGAAAGACTAACCTCCAACGCCCAGAGAACAATCGTCGCCAGAAGGAAGTTTTGAGCATTTCGCCCGTCCAAATGAATCCATAGGTAGGCAAAGGCGAGAGCGGCAAAGGCAATGTGAAGGTGAAGGAAGGTTTCGTAAAAAGCGTGACGGAGTGCGGAGGGAGAGTGGAAGAGAAGCGCAAGGAAGGCACAGGTGCCCTGGAAGAAGTCAATATAACTCTGTCAATAGATTGATTTGCCGGCGAACTTACGATCAAGCCACTTCGAATGAATTCACTGCCTGCAAACGAGGCCGCAACTGTGCCCCAGCCGTCTATGTATAATTAGCGATGATATCCAAATATAACGCTTGGAGCAAGCACATACAAGATTGCACCTTCGGGATAAGCCAGGCGAGGGTATGGACGATAGCCTCGCAAACAACGATCCTAGCGAGCCAGCGGTGGATCAGATTGCAGGTGTCGTAAGGCACCTGAAGAAGGGTGATCATGGGGTTGTTTCTGCCTGCCAAAAGCACGAGAGGGATCAAGTTCACGGTCGCCATGACACCACTTCGGCTAAGGATAACGCCTGACACTGAGTCGGGTTCTGACTTGTAGGGCACGGTGACGAAACAGAGGGTGATGTTCATTGCGATAATGCCAACGATAATGAATGTGTGGAATCGGCTGGGCAGGGTGCCCATGTTGACGGCGCGAGAGAGCTGGAACTCGCGGTTGTGGCGGTTCCGAAAGAGAGGCGCGTAGACGATGTGTTCCTTGATCTTCGCGAGAGTCGGATGGGCAGGCGTGAAATAGCGTTGACGCTCGTTGTTGAAGCTTGCGAGTCGTCGCATGTGGCCGGCGAGGCGAAACCACATCTTCCAAATGTACATCAATGCCGCGAAGCACCCGAGTGCTAGTAATGAGTAGCGAGCAAGGTCATCATTGAGAGCCTCATAGAACGGATTCTCGTCGCCATGACGCTTTTCGAGGTCTGCTGCTAAAGAGTGTCCAACCAGGGACATGGAAAGAAGTATAGAAGCCATGGCTGTGGAACCCGATTGAAGAGCCGGGTGTATATATAACGAAATAACAGGCGCAGAGTGCGAGTATATGGGGGACGAGACCAGCTCTGAACGACGAAAATAACCCCCAGAAAAGAGCGAAGATAACCAAGCGAACGCGAGTGTCCCAATCACCACTATAAGTCTCAAACGGCCCAAAAGAGCGAGCGACCGGGGACTGTCAAGGGGTGAATGAACAATGAGGTTGTAAGGGTCTCCCTCTGTGTTTGGCGGACAAAAGAGATCGAGACCGTGAAACAATCCCCAGGAGCACCGTTGTCAGATGCTTGGGTCTGAAACGAGAGAGGTTGAGGTCCAAAGGGTTCGATCTCCTTTGGGCGGCGGACTCCTCTTTCTATTGAATCTCCTGAATAGCGATCGTCGGTGTTGATGGGCAACGCAAAGAATGTGAGCGAAGTTAGTAGTGAACCAGCCACTGCAAGCCTCGAGAATCAAGTGTCAACACTCGGTCGGACGCAAAGGAGAAAAAGAAGAGGAAAAAAAGCCCAAACTGCCAAGCAGAAGGGGACATGCTGGATTATTGCATATAAGTCCTGGGCCTCCAGGGCCTCGAAAGACCCCTCCCCTCGATCCAAGCGCGAGCAGCAAGGGCCCACGATATGGTGCGACTTGGCGGCAAACAGCAAGCGGGAATCTGAGTGGAAGCGAGGATGGCTCAGATTGATTCTGGAGAATGGCCGCGAGCAAATGAGCGCGCATTGCGTCCAGATCAGCGCTGGGAGTGGAGAGGAGGCGCAAAGTCAAGAGAGCGGCCGGAGGTGAGTGGCCACACGATGAAACACATCAGCGGGACTCTTCAGGACTGCGCAGCCACTCGGGGCCGCCGCTTTACTGTTGAAACAGGCCTGACAGCGCCATCCATGGCTCTCTTGATCTGCGAAGATACAATCCTGTCTCTGCTCTGGGTGTCCCTGCAGGGGAGCTGTCGAGTTTGCGCACACTGCTGACTGCTGACTGCACCCCTCATGCCGTCGAGGCAAGACACTCTGACTCGCGGGGCCAAAGCCGTCAACACCAAACACGAACAGACACGGCAGGATTCTTTCGATTATCGCTGTTCCACTATGAGACCCCCGGTCGACTCAGTCCTTCATCTACTGCCAACACCGGTCTCGGCCCAAGGCCAGCTTTAATATGCTGCGGCCCGGCCAATATATTAACTACGGAGTCCCCCAAGGCTCCCTTATATGACCTCCGATATGAGAAAAAATCAGGTGGCGGTTTGACTATGCACCTCTCAAACACCTACTGTGGGTGATGTGTGAGCCACATCCGAGTCTGTCACATCCCGATTAGCAACTTGCAGGGAACGATTGCTGAGCGTTACGCTCTGGCCCAGAGACGGGACAAATCTCGCCCTTTATCAACCAGTCCTGCGTCCTGACAGGATTTCCCCGACGGGAGACAGTGGACCTGGGTCGTATACCATCTTGCTATGTTACAGCCTGGAGGTTCACCACTGGCCTTCTCCGGTCCTGATTCGGTGTGAAGTAGCAGCCTCCCGGGCCTGTGACTCGTTGACGATGCTGGTCACCTGTACGGATTCCATGGGACTGCAGGAGATATGCCTCATTGAGGCCCTGGGCAAAGAATCTCTCTCATGAAATTATTTCTCGCCTCATTATGCCAGCCGGCCCAGATCAATCTAATTCACCCGTACTTCGGGCAATAATCGGATAAAGCGGTGGGCGGTATGAAAATGGAGTAGGTTTATAGTACTGGATCACCCTTGTCCAGGCCTGGGAAACCTTTTAAGGTTACCAACGGTAGTACGTGGCTGCTTCAATATACCGAGTACTTTGCAGGTGTTTGCCTCAATTGCTCCCGGCATTGGCTTGAACGCTTGGTCCTGGCTACAACGGACGAAACATGGTGATACCTACACCGTCTCACCAGTCCGAAGATCCAGAGTTCTGGAAATAACCCGGCTTTTCCCCTTTCTTCCAGGAGCTGGGATGAGCATGGATCCATTTCCATTAATATTTAATCTAAACACCTACCGCGAGTGACTATCTACCCACTAGTTTAGCTATTTAATTTACCTAAACAGTTGGCACAACGGTTATTGAAGACACTCGACTACCGCAGGAATTACGACACAGGTAGGTATGCCATCATATAAAGTTTTGTTGAAATGGCAAATCCATCAAGGTTGGCTTGATTGAACAAGTAAATTTGATTTTCTGCGGCTAGAAGGGGGTATTCGCAGGAATCGGCACAACTTCACACAGACGCTTGCAGAATATCCTTGTACACTATAACAAATTGAACCAATAAACAGTAATCAAATGCCCAGGGTATCACGCTGAACCATATGAAACACCAGAATTCCCCCTAAGACTCCTCCAAACACAAATAAGAATCCAAAAAGCAACTGATAAAAGAAAAGCTGGGACCGGGCGTTTAGAGAAAGCTAAGCTCATCATCACTGTCGTCATCCTGCGAACACGGGATCGCCGCTGCTGTCCTTCTCCGTATAATTGGAGCCGGAGCTGACCGCCGCCTGTCGGAATACTTGGAACTCGCCCTGGGAATAATAGATGAGTGACGGGCGGGTCTTTTAATCGGCTTGGTATGATCTTTAGGCGCTGCTTCGTAGCCCGAGTCTCGCGAATTCTTGTTGATAATGACGACTTCAATCGCTGGGATTGGTCCCACAGGAGTATTTCCTGCTCTGCGACTGCGAGTGGTACCCTGCTGATCCGCCGACGTCTGCCGCAACTCGTCCTTGACTGCCGTTCTTGTACGGGCGGCTACCGGAGCGTGCCCTGCTTCAGATGAAGACTGACATGGTGAATAGTCGGGGCTGTTGGTCCAATCGCCCTCTTTACCCCACCCACGCTCCGCATATCGCGTGTTATAAGCCTTCTTGAACGGTCGGGGGTCCGAATATTGACTCGTACAAGGCCTCTTCTTCGGGACAGATGGCGCTGACGATGTAGCACTTGAAACACTCTTTTCCGAGCATATCGAGCTTGCGGACGAGCTACTCGTCGAGCACGCAATAATCCGCGGTCGTCCTCTTCTTCGCAGCTGTGGTCTCGTTGCGATATTGGTTGTGACAACCCGTGGCTTTGCCGCTGGTGTCCTTGCCACCCATTCGCCTATACTATCTTCCCACCGGTATAAGCTCGTGTATTCTTGACTCGATGAGTGCGACTGTTGAAAGCCATCGTCCTCCAGAAAAGAAGCGACTGTTTCCTGGATTTCAACGGCCCAAATATGGTCATCGGGGTGTAGGGTTCCCTCCGCATGTGCCATTGCGACTTCGACAGCAACTTTGCCTAGTAGGAAAATAACTCCTGTGGCGCTGGTCAAGTGAGCAAGCTGCGAGACCCTGGCTCGGATTTCTCGAGGGGTACGCACAGAGCTTCGATCGTGTGCGCTTCCTGAATGGTGAAACACCTGAGACACAAGCCTTGCCAAATCCCTCACGACATTTTCTCGGGATGCCAACGCCCGGAAGAAGGATTCGATGTTTCGCCTTGAAACTGACTCAGAGTGGTAGATGATCTCGGCAGTTACGCTCCCGCCACACTGCAGCGTGCAGTCCGCCAGCAGCACATATCCTCGTCGCAAAGGTTGGAAAACCTGTTGCCCTAAGTCGTGAGTTACAGCCTCGTTTTCAACAGCCTGCTGAACAGTAAAAGCTAGATAGTTGACCATCCCCCGCATCTTCAAACCCGCAGACCTCTCATCCGCACCGGGCGCCTGTGATCGCGCAATGCAAATTCCACAAAGGGCTGTTAGGAGGCTGGAGATGAGATTGCTGAGAGCGTCTTGTATCGGGACAGGACACGAGCTCTGATCGTTTGATAACTCTGACATAAGGGAGATGGATGTACGAGTCCCTCTGGATCGTATTGTGCGTGGCGCCTGATTGTGGTTTTCTTTCAGAAACACCTTCGAGTCGTACCTCGAGTAGATACCGGCGGATGAAAGGATCACAGCCTCTATCAATCGCCTCGCAGCGGCGTACCCGCGACCCTCCGTTGACACCAGCATTATCGCCTGATCCACAGACTTCTTCCACCACATAGTTACCATCCATTCTGGCGGAATAGCCCCTCGCGTCAAGAGCCTAGACAGCTCTTCGAACACATATGTGTGTCGTGCGGGATGCCATATATAGTATTTCATTAATATTTGAATAGGATCGTTGCAGTGACCAGACGGTCGTGCCGGATCCAACCTCGATGGGTAATGGTACTCCTCCACACTCGCGAGCAGTGTTGTCTGTAGCGACTCGAAAGCGTCCAATTCTTGTTGCGATAAACACTCCTCTAGCAATCGACAGGCTGCAAGTGAGGTTATCCACCGCTGCTGTATCATACCCGAGACTAAATAGATTCCTTGGGCCCGTACAGCCTCACGAAGTGGTTGCCATCCGTTACCGCTAGGCGCATAAGCGGCTTCCAGCTCTGTAAAATACGCGTCGCACATATCCACATCACCGTCTTCCTCTGATTCATCCTGCATCCGTTGCTCCTCAGCAATAAACTCTGGAAGGCGCCGCACAGTCATTGACAACAAAGATCGGGCTCCTTGCTGGGGTCCATCCTCTTGACCCTCTGGTGGTGAAGGCCGAGTATTCCCCAAAAACTTCAGAAAGATGCGATCCAATAAATGGGCAATATCCACAAGCCCCGGGTCCCCAGATTGATCCAAAACCTCTTTCCAAGACCCGTGATACCGCTTGAAACTGTTATTTTTCGTCCGACCTGGCTTTCGATTCTCTGCAGGTCCCCCCAGCCCGTTATGCACTCCATCCGCTAGATGGCCCTGAAAAAGCTGCGTCCTCAGCGATGGCGAAGACTCCGCCAACGCACCACGAATCTTGCCCGTAATTAAGGGTGTCGCGATTTCAATAGCCCCCGGAAGTGTTTTCGGCGCCTCCGGGCTCCGAATCAACAATCGGCTCCGTCTCCGCGGCCCTGCCCCATTTAACCCCCGCCCCCGGG